TAACCAGGATGGCTACTCTTATCCTACGACATATCCTCTATGATCCTTCATAGCTCCTTGTCCTGCATACTTCCTTCCTAAATAGCCCCCCAATCAAACATCAACGGTATGGAAATGGCTTTTCTTCACCAATTATTTGCACCATTTTCATAGGTATGAACCCCACCATTGAGTTTAAGGAGACCTCAACCATGTCTAAATGCAGATTTTCCTCCTCCGCCGATACCTCACTCCTACCTCCCTCCTCAGCTTCCTTGTCATCTCAGATAGTGTGAACCTGAAGAGTTTGATCCTTACACCTATGCCCCGATATGTACTTCTCATCACATATGAAATGGCCCCTCCTGGGTCGGTCTAACACTAGCTTACTATAGTAACAAACTTTAAAGAGAGACTAGCTTTGATACGTAAATAATAAGATTTAATTTTAAGCAATGCGCATGAGTTAGTATAATAAAATAAAATGCATATGTCAAATAATAAATCATTAAGTTCTACTTATCAATTATTTGCACCATTTTCATTTCCATTGTTACTCATTAATTTCTTAGAGATGTCATATAATGCATGCAAGCTTGTAGCACATTTATATTATTAGGTTGTCACCTGGCTATCAGCCTTAACAATCATTGATAAAGTTTACACAATTCAATATATCAATTAGATTGAGGTGGCTAGGGTTTTTCTCCTTCCTCCTCCTCTGCTCTCTGCTGACTGTCCTCTCCCCGTCTCCTCCTCCGGCTTTGCAACGGGTAGGTCCCGATGACCTCATACAAAAATGAGGTCAACAACCCTTTAAAAATTTATTGATAATGCAGTAGCATATTCAAGCAAATGACCTTCATAGGTCAAAGAGATACCAACATGCATTTACATGTATAAACAGCAGACTTGCATTCGTTCATGCAAGTAATTATTTCAAAATAATTTCACCTAGGAAGCAAAAATGATATGTTTTCCCTACCCTGAGAATTTACATCATTACCTTCTTTCTCCATATTCTCCGGAGCACAAACAACAGATTTGCATTTGTTCAATATTGACGTCTTCATCAAAATGATCATCTAGAACAGCTTGATATTTAGTTCCAGTTCTTTCAGGCATTCCTCCAGTATCGAGTTTCTAAAATTTGATTGACATCTACGAGATAGATATAAAGAAAAATAGGTCTTTTGACGACAACGACAAGCATTTAACCCACTATTAGGGGTTGGTTACATAAATCTTTTTTCTCCATTGTGTCATTTTGACGAGAAGAAATAAAAAAATAATAATTCAAAAGTTGGAGTTAGGAAGTAGTCATTCACTATTCTCATAGAATGAGCATCTTTCCTTACTACTTTAATGGGATTTGGATTATTTCCATTGCTTAAAAAAGCTACGTACATAAATCCTTTTTGAGAAAGT